ACAATTTCATCCTAAAACCATTGGACGCATTCAGCCTAAAATGATGCTACCTCATCCACTTGGTCTGACTATTGTAATCCCAATGCCTCGCTCTTCCTCCATCTCCACCTCCTCTTTATATTCTTCCTCTTCAAGTATTTATCCAGTCATTTTAAATGTTGTTATGGTCTCGACTTCAATAATAGCCTTCCATGTGGCAAAACATTCCATGTTCTAATGACCATTAAATAATATTTCACTATTTCCTTCATTTCCACTTGCCGTTTTCTCCCTCAACCCCTGGCTGTTCCGGAATTGCCATGTAGGAAATCATGGATATGACCCTATGTCCTCCTACCTCTCTATGCCCGTCACTGTGGCTCTGTGCTACCTTACTGGAACTTCTGCCACAATTTTAATACAATTCCTTGAACTTTTAGGACAGTCAAACAAAATTGGGAAAGGTTGGGGATTCTTCCATGTTAATAGTATTAAAATATTCTATGATTCTAAGTGCTCTTATTTTTATTATTTTTTTTAAAAATAGCAATGTATCCGACTTTCCAACAGCCTAATGGGCAACGGCAGTAGTAATGCATACAGTCAGGGTTACAGCCCTGAGCAGTGCTGAATTAGCAGATTTCAGCCAAGGCAGCAGTTGAAGGCACTGCAATCAGCCAAAATGAGCCTCAGAGGGGAAAAACCTAAAGCCTGCTTCTGACTGCTGTCCAGTTGGTTACCCCTGGTGGAAAGTGCACATATGTAGATGTTAAACGAGGAATTGTCTGTTGTGCCCTTGTTTTTGAATAGCCAACACACACACACATACACTCTGTCGTACTGTAGTGGTTCCCTAGAGCTTGGCTGTAATGCAGCAGGTGCTCGACTGCACTTGAAACTTCCCTAACTATTTAAAGATAATTATTCTCTGAAGATTTTCGGATTCATTCTTGCAAATTCATTCTTGAAACAACCTGTTCAAATCTAATTTCCGGATTGAAAGGATGCATTACTTTTTTTTGTTTGTTTTTTTAAACCCATATGTTTGACAACACAAACATTTCATAAATTCAACTTACCAGTGAGTACTGTTGGCTAGTTAAGAACCAGCAACATCAATAAATGAAGAGACAATTACTGTTTGTATAATACTAATCATTATTATTAATGTATTATATGAATAGAATCTAAAATATTGCCAATTAAAATACACAGCGACGATACGGTGTATCATGTGAAGCATTTTGAGACATCTTCTTGACGTGAAAGACGCTTCGTTAAATGTAAGAATTTTGTTATTATAAAATGCAATAGCACTTTGAAGGAATAAAGTTCAGGGTAAAAAAAATGATATTCTGGACAAGGTCTTATTCTGTGTTTTACTCCACTGATGAACCATTCCAAGGAGCAGATCCTTTTAACTTGCGTGGCTTATTGCGGTCTCACTCTGAGGACAATACAGCTTTAAGGCTTCTCCTTTGCAGGTGCTCTGTGACTCACACACAGTACAATCAATGTCTATCGGATTGTAGATGCTTCCTCACCTCCTTCCATCTCTATGGTATTAGTGTTTTCAGTTTGCACAGAGCCAGTTACCAAAAAAAAAGGAGTTTTAAAGGGAACTATTGCCACGGCAACAGCTATTTGTTTATGTTCTTTGGCCAAGGTTGTGGCTGCTGTGGCTCTCTCTGAGGAGAATGGAGGTTCCTGCAGTCTCTCAGAGCCCATTCATGGCACATAATTAAGCTGTACAGTGCAATCCATTGCCTTCCCCCAACTCCCCATCACTTACACAATAGCTCTGCAATGCTTAATGAAGTAAAAGTTGTTGATATGTTAAAGTCCTAAAGGGAAACTCAAGGGCACCATTAAGGAAAGCCCAATTTTGAAAGAATGTAGCTTTGTACTCTCTCCTTTCATCAAAGTGCTGGTTCCCATGTGCGCAGAATCTCTTACAGCTTTCCTTTCCTACTCTCTCGCTCCCCAATCCTCAAAATACTATGCAGGACCCCCCTCCCTTCATAATGTCTAGCCTTCTTTGACACCTCATTAACCCTGTTTCTTTATCTTTGATGTTACCTCTCTCCTGTATGATTTCTCTTCTACCTTTCTTCCTTTCTTTCTCTTCTTCAGCTCTGTCCTTTCACCCTTCGGGCATTAAAAGTTAGTTTTGCAGAGTAGCCAATTGATTATTTGAAGACTTCAGCGGCTCTATTGGCCACGTCTAAAACAGTGGTTATTTGAAAACTTTGGCAGAAAGTAGAGAAATATAAAAATAGAGAAACAGGGATCAATTCTAAAACGATTGATGATGTTACAAACACACTCAAAACTTGCAATCACACAGATCATGTAAGATGAGATAAGCTTGACTTTGATTGATATTTATTCCTGAAAATGAACTTATCACAATTTTCAGTAAAAATAACACCAAATAATATGTATTGGCTGCCACATTCACCGGCAAATATACAGTCACTATCCTTTACAGAAGAAATGTGTGTAATGCTTTGAGACATTTCAATGTGATAAGCATCTCATCCGAAAGACGGCACCAATGCAACACAGCCCTAGCACTGCATTGAAGTGTGATTCCAAGTCCTGATGTATATAATAAGAATATTAATAATCCTTGCATTTGATACAGCACCTCATCACATCTTCGAGATGTCTCAAAGCTCTGCAAAGTGAATTGACTGAATATTTTGTGGGCAAAATACGACAGCCAAACAGATGGCTTGGCTAAAATCTACAAAACTCTACCTTTCGGAAATCAAGAGCTAATGTCAACCACGACTTTGATCTGAAATTAGGATTTGATAACACAGCTATGGACTTAACAGGGTTGTTTTCGGAGCTTGTACAGGAAAGTGGAGACCGAAAGAAATGCTGAGATAAAGGAGAGCGACATCAAAATGAGATGAAAATAAAGTTGAAAGTTTTTTTTCCATTTGTGGACTGAGAAATAGCCTTCCTATAACTCCCAACTTAAAGATGTAGGAGGTGAGGGGGGGGGGTAAGGCACTCATCAAGGTTTTCACTTCCCATTGAATCCTCTTTTGTAAAAAAAACAGTTTTATTTCATTCAGAGATCCAGCCATTTTGTGTCCATTATTACACCATCAATACATTGCTGCTGGGAGCTTTTTATGTTTAAACACTGAACGGTTCTGAGGTTATGCTAATTTTTGACAGAGACACAGACAGGGCGACAGGGCAGGGCAGGAAAAAGAATCTTTCTGTCAAATAATTAGAGGCCACAGAGAATCATTCTTCATTCCACCGTATTGTCTCAGGATTGTCTCATTCTAAGTAAAGTACAAAGTACAGGAGGAAATTCCAACTGTAAACAGTATTTTTTTGACATTGTATTTCATGTGACCAGACAGTGATCTTTTTCTGACAAAATGCTAGTTTACATAGTAAATCTTTCCTCAAAACATATCTTTAAGTGTTTGGGCTTTCTTCGACGTTGTGTGTGGATTAATGCAAGTTTAAAACGTTGGGAAAATAGTGGGGGGGGGGGGAAAAGACAGGTTTAGGATAAAACGCTCGACGTGTCTGTGCCCAACTGAGGAGTTGTAGTATCTAAGGTGTATAGCGATGCTCCGATTTAAATCCTGAGATGTTATTCGGTGACCTGACCGGCTGGTGACCCAACCCTGCCATTGCTATGCCATGGATGCGGCACTTGAACCTCACCCAGTGTTGTTATTTATACGACTTTATTGAGCAGCTCTTTCACGCCTGAAGATGCATCTGTGCGGAAAAAACTCGCAAAAAGGGACTAAAAATAAACCAACCCAAGGGGAAAAGAATAAAACGCACAAGGGCGGGGGGAATGGTAAACCAAACGGCACGACGAGCTTCTCGAGTCGCCGTCAGCATCAGGGATTGTGATGCGTTACATGTTTTAAAAGTATATACGTGTCCCCGGATTTGGTTTACATAATACGGTCACCCAATATTGGCCGAACTTAATCAATTGAATTGGGCCAAGGAGCTCACTTGTCTTATAATAATATAAGCTGCGGAGTCCCGTAGCTCAGCGGTTAGAGCGCTCGCTTTGCCAGCGAGAGACCCGAGTTCAATCCCCGGCAGGTCAGGGCCAAACCCTGGGCAAGTTTCCTTACTCCACACCACAGAGCCCGAATAACAATCCCTCCAAAACCCCCCGAAGCAATAATAAATCGGTCATTGTCACTCCACGACTGTTTGGGGGGGGGGGGACATCGCTGTGGCGCAATCGGCCGCCGCGTTCGCCCACCAATACGCAGTCAATCCGCTTCACAGCGTTGTTGCGTGGAGCGCTTTGGGACGTCCTCCCGACGTGAAAAGCGCTGTGTCAAGTGCGAGGATTATTATTATTATTATTATTATTATTATCATTAATCTTTGCGTTTGACCCGGCGCCATTGCGGGGCCCTTCGCGGGACACGGGTCGGGAAGCGTCGCGGCCGCGAGTTTTCCCGGGCGGAAGCCCCCGGCGGCCCGGACGGCCCGGGTGGGTCCCGCGCTCCGCCCCACGGACGCCCTGCGCCCTGCGCGCCGGCGGATGGGCTTCTCCGCGGTCCGTCCCGCGAAGCCCCGCGAGGCCTCTCGGAGACCCGGGGCCGGGACCCCCGGGGATCGTTCCCGTCCCGGAAGGGTATAAGCGGTGAAAGGAATTGTGGTCATCGCAGCGAAGGGGCAAAGGAACCAAAGGAGGTGCGACCCAGACTGGACAGCAGCGCCCTCTGCCGACCCCCCACCGGCTCCTCAGCCGTCAGGGGGGGGTCCTCCAATCGTCTCTGTGACGCGTCGAGTTCCGTCCCATGATGCTCAGTGGGAGTTGGGGGCGGGCGGGGGAGGAGGGGAAGAAGGCAGCAGCTGATTGGCCCGGGCGTGCGATCGTACGGCGGCTCCGATTGGCTGTGCCTCGCGTGACGTCAGCCGAGGCGCAGTTGCCGGGCTCCGATTGGCCGAGGCGCGCACCGGCCGACTCGCCTCGGCCAATCATCGGCGCGCGGGGGGCCGAGGCGACACGACACGTGATTGGAAGGCGCGGCCCCGCGGCCACCGGGACCGGTACCGAGAGAGAGGGAGAGAGAGGGGGAGAGGGAGAGGCGGTCCCTTCATGGCCGAGGACAGGAACATGGCGGTAGTGACCTGTTCGGCTCCTGTAAACATCGCCGTCATTAAATACTGTGAGTCTGTGGCTCGGGCCCTGTCGGCTCCTCCCGCTCCCGGACAGCGTTACCTCTCCTCCTCTCCTCCTCTCCTCTTTCCTCTCCTCTTCATCTCCTCTTTCCTCTCCTCCTCTTCCTTCTCTTCCTCTCCTCTCCTCTTCATCTCCTCCTCTTCCTCTCCTCCTCTCTTTCCTCTCTTCTTCATCTCCTCCTCCTCCTCTCCTCTCTTTCCTCTCCTCTTCATCTCCTCCTCCTCTCCTCTTTCCTCTCTTCTTCATCTCCTCCTCTCCTCTTTCCTCTCCTCCTCTCCTCTTCCTCTCCTCCTCTTCCTCTCCTCCTCTCCTCTTTCCTCTCCTCTCCTCCTCTCCTCTTTCCTCTCCTCTTCATCTCCTCCTCTCCTCTTTCCTCTCCTCTTCATCTCCTCCTCCTCCTCCTCTCCTCCTCCAGCTAAAGGTTTCAGCAACTTTGCAAACAGCAGAATTTTACTTTTTTTAAAAAAAAAAGAGGATAAAAAAAAACACACAAACACAGAAAAAACGTGCGGTTGCCTTTCTCTCGGCATGTGTCAGATTTCCCAGCATCAGCTCGACATGACAGTCCCTGGGCTGTGATCTCCAGCCCGTCAGTGATGGCTGTATCTGAGGCCATCCATCTCTCACTGTCACTGCTCGGTGGCACTAATCATAACAATAATAATAATCATAATAATAATAATGATCCTCGCATCGGATATAGCGTCTTATCACGTCTTCGAGACGTCTCAAAGGGCTTTGCAGAATACACTGCAAAGTGAATTGACTGTATATTTTGTGGGTGGAACTACGTGGAAAAGGGAGGACAGTAAAAAAGTTGATGCCCTTTCACCTTTGCGCGCAGGGGGAAAGCGAGATGAGGAGGCGATTTTGCCGATTAATTCCTCACTGAGTGTGACCCTACACCAGGATCAGGTAAGCGCACCTGACATTTGCAATTGCCTTTTCTCTCTGGCTAATCCACTGATTTGAGGATTCATGCAATTTACCTGACATAAACTTTTCAGAAAAGATTCCTTTTTATTAAACCGTGGCCTATCTTTCCAGCTGATTAAGTCTTCAATCTTTTGGAATCACACAATAGATTTTTAAAAAAAAACAAAACACTATTTTCATTCTTTGAGATCCGGACCCCTGGTGAGTTAGTGATATAAAACCTGTCATTAGGATTCTTAATAAGGAGAAAAATAAGCACTGTGTATCAGAGGAAGTTAATCATATAAATGACTGGTGTTCAAGTGAAAATTACAATGGAGCTTCTTTTATTCAATGAAAAAGGTTTGTTTAAGAGCTTTTGTCTTTCAACTTGTACAACATCAATCTTTTTGAGTACAGGCATTTTATGTATTGAGCTACTCCTACCTCTTGCAATGCATTCTTAATAAAATGTCTTAACACATCCTCAGAAGCGAAGCTATTGTCTGATATTTTATTCCCCACAATTTTAGAGTCTGCAATTGCTACATTATATGATGAATAGGTTAAATAAAATTGTGCAAACTCTTGACTGTCCAGATTCATGGGCTATCCTCCCGACGTGAAAGGTGCAATATAAATGCAATTTGGTGTTGTTATTGCTTGGATGGTGCCAGTATCATATTGGTTCTCTGTCAATTAGGAAACTCTAAATTTTGTTGTCTACATTTATGTTTTCTTCATTCACCCTTTCTGGTTTACCTGTTTTCAGTTAAAAACTACAACCACAGTTGCTGTAAGTCGAGATTTTAAGGAGGACCGAATATGGCTAAATGGAACCGAGGACAATATAACCCACCCAAGGTTGCAGACCTGCCTACGTGAGAGTACGTACCTTTGCTATAGTCTCTACAGTTCTTGTGTAATGGCATTGTAGGATTAGGAAATTAACTAATAGCTAAGTGAAGGAGAGCTTGCTTAAATGTTTTGCCGACGTGTTGAGAATCAGTCAACAATTCCTATACCAATGAAAATGGCAGCCAAAAGTCAAATGGATTAGATTCAATTTTCTACATCTCTGCAGAGTATCCTCCATTCATTCCTTATTTATACTTCAAGATATGGAAACAATATTTGCTGAAATACTGCAATGTGTTATAAAACGGTCGAACTGATTTTAAAAAATGATTCTAAAATACAGTATTTAAAATGCTTTTCGTATTCACCAAAAAGCCTTGATCTGTAACATTCTTGGATTTTTAATCGTTTTTTTCTCCCCACCCCCACCCTAGTCCGTCGCCTCGCCAGAAAAAGAAGAAATAGTGGTGATGAAAATTGCAACACATTTCCAACCGTTTCCTATAAAGTTCATATCTGTTCTGCAAATAACTTCCCTACTGCAGCGGGACTGGCATCTTCTGCAGCTGGCTACGCCTGCCTGGGTAAGTAAATCAGAGATCAGATATGGAAAGGTGTTTTATTTAAAATGTACAGAGATTGCCATTAATTCTGCAATATATTCTCCAACCCATTTGATTAACTGAAGTGTCTCCTTTACAGTGTACGCCCTCGCTAAGCTATACGGTCTGGAGGGAGAGTTGTCAGAGATTGCTCGTCAGGGTTCAGGCAGTGCTTGCCGAAGCATGTACGGTGGGTTTGTGCAGTGGGTCATGGGAGAGAAAACCGATGGGAGTGATAGCATTGCCCAGCAGATCAAGCCAGAATCTCATTGGCCAGAGCTCCGAGTGCTCATACTGGTGGTGAGTTCACAGAAATAATAATAATAATCCTTCCATTTGCTATAATCACTCCGGCTCGCCCACTCCTTGGCCTCCTTTAAGTCCCGCCTTAAGACCCTCCTCTTCGACCTTGCCATCGGTCACCCCCTTCCCCTCCCTTCTCGCCCCACTGACCCCAGCTCGGGTCTGAAATGCTGTACACTGTCCAGCGCCTTGGGACATCCTCCCGACTTGAAAGGCACTATCACGTCTTTGAGACGTCTCAAAACTCTTTACAGAATATACTGTAAAGTGAATTGACTATATTTTGTGGGGGTAACTCAGTAGCCAGTTGCGCACAGCAGTTTCCCACAAACAAGTCGTGGATTGAGTGACCACATTTTTTTTAGCAAGCTAGAGAAAGGCACATTTTTGCAGATTGTTACAGCCTATTATGGCTTAATCTTTTGCACTATTTCCTGTATTTCTAATCATTATTTATTTTGGAACCATAAAGCTGGTTATATTGCATGTAGAGTGATGTGCTCATTTCACCATTTCTCCCCCAATTCCTTCTAGACATTTACTGTATCAGAAATTGTGTATTTTTAATTTGAAGTTCAGCTTTTGAATATGTGATCTCCTGTGGGGCAGTGCTGGGTAGTTCAGCTCCATTTTTTTTTGCTGCTTTTCCAGGTGAGTGCAGAACGGAAGCCAGTGGGCAGCACTACAGGAATGCAGACCAGTGTCAAGACCAGCCCGCTGCTGAAGGTGTGGATTTCTTCCTAATGGAACATTAGTAGACCTTATACATCTGGGGTAAAATAAAGTGACTGGTGAACACAAATAGTCTATTTAAAAGGTCAAGGAATGAACTTGGGATCTTTTTAGTTTGTGTTTCTAAGTCCTGTGGGCCGGGGAGAGGTTAACAAGATGAGGCATTTTTTATCTTTTTGCTACCCATTTTCAACATCGGGTCAATGGTAGCAGGTGGATGATGTAGATTACTTTGTACCACCAATGTTCCTTTACCCAAGTGGGTCAAGGACCACACCCCACACCATCACACACAGCAGTATTGTGAATATTCTCATCCCCCATAGCAGCTAAAGTCATGACTCCTATGAGTTCAGTTGACATATTGATAGTCTTAACTATCTTTGTGGAGTCCTGTAGCTCAGTGGTTAGAGCACTCGCTTTGCAAGTGAGAGACCTGAGTTCAATTCCAGGCAGGTCAGGGCGAAACCTTGGGCAAGTTTCCTTACTCCACACAGAGCCTAATAATAATCCCTCCAAAAACCAAAAACAATAATAAATTGGTCATTTTCAATCTACGACTGTTTGTGGGACATTGCTGTGCGCAATTGGCTGCCGCGTTCGCCCACAAATATACAGTCAATTCACTTTACAGTGTGTTCTGCGAAGCGCTTTGGGACGTCCTCCCGACGTGAAAAGCGCTAAATCAAATGCAAGGATTACTATTATTATTATTAACTAGTTGGCACCGGAAACGCCACCCAAAATCTGACGTTAAAACTCCTGATGATTGGTTTGCCACCCCTTGATGGTGGTGGTGGTGTTACTGCTGGAGTTGATGAGCAGCATTGTTGTTGAAAATAATGCAGGAGTTTTCTTGCTTTTCCATTAAAAGGTAATGATAAATAACATGTAAGGAAGCTGCTGAAAGGAAACTTAATGATACGCAGTTCATAACCATGTTGCTTTGTGATTCCTGCAGCACCGTGCTGAAAAGATAGTTCCTGAGCGAATGAAAGAAATGACTGAAGCCATCCAATGCCGTGACTTTGAAAGCTTTGCACAGATAACTATGAAGGAGAGTAACCAATTTCACGCCACTTGTCTCGACACCTTCCCCCCAATCTTCTACCTCAACAATATTTCCAGACGAATCATTAACTTAGTACATAAATACAACTCCCACCACGGAGAGACACGGGTGAGATATGCTTTTGATCAGTGTGATCGATGGCTGCTTTGAAATATTAAATGTGCTGCTATGCATCTTTTTATTTTAGACAGGCATCAAACTTCAAAAGTGTTTGCATATTGTAAAGTGGCCAACAAAATACACAGTCAATCCACATACAATATATTCGGTGAAGCGCTTGACCATAAGACCATAAGACGTAGGAGCAGGAGTAGGCCATTCGCTCCGCCATTTAATAAGATCATGGCTGATCTTCTAACCTAATTACATTTCCTGCCCTATCCCCATATCCCTTAATCTCTCTATCCTTTAGAAATCTATCAATTTCTAGCGTCTCAAAGATGTGCTATATCAAATGCCTTCCAAAACTCAATATGTTTATCCCAGGGTTAAAAATTCCAGGGTAGGCTCTTCAGTCTACTGAGAAGTTAAAGCTTCATTTTAATATTTCGGAAATACCTCCACCCACACAATTCTTTTATAGGGACCAGAATTTTTCAGTGTATTGTTTGCCTATATGGACTGTCACTAAGTGAGGTATAGTTGTGTCTCTGGAGCTGAGTCTATCACACAAAAGCTGTGGTGAGATGATTATCAATTATATTTGGGGGAGGAGCTCAGCTTGCTCTCTGACATGATGCAGCAAAAACAACTAAAAATAAGTCCAAATTCAGCCACCAAGTACTTGTATAATTTATTCTTAAAATGAGAGCTTACTTTCAGCACTCCGAGGTGCTACGCTGCGTGAAGGTGCTTAAAAAGTACACGTTACTTATGAAGATCTGAGAAGTAATCTTGTCTGTTCATAACGAGCAGTGAAATGAACTCTACAAAATAAATGAAACTGAGTTTAGTCAGAATGCACTTAGTTTACGTTTGATCAAATTGCTTTGAAATGGGCATGTTGCTTTAGGGGACAGTGGTTCCAATGCTAATTACTTTTTCCCCTCCTATATTCATTTTAATTCTCTCCAATCCAGTTACCAGAAAACGTCTTAGGATTGCAGTGCTCTTAATGAAGTAGACCATCAGTTTTAGGATGTGCTCAGGAAATTGCTCTTCTGTATGTTGTGTGGAAATTTTATTGTTCCTAACCTTTTTTTTTCTGGTGGATTTAGGTGGCGTATACATTTGATGCAGGCCCCAATGCTGTCATTTACACACTACACCAGCATGTGGAGGAGTTTGTGGAGGTTGTGAAACATTTCTTTCCTCCAGAGGAGAATGGTGGACAGTGAGTTACAGTTTTTTTAATAAAAAATTACAGCAGTGCCGTTCCTTGGATCACTTTTGAACAAAATGCTTGAGGGAATTGGTCTGATTTGTGACTTGTGATCTCCAGTGGTTCCTGGGAATTTTCTCCTTTCTTTGTAGACACTGACTTTGGTTTTGCAACTGCCCATTCATTCCCCTCTGGTGTTTCATAGAAGTGACGTGATCGTTCTTTGTGTGTGGGCTTAGACCATGAATGCCTCCTCGTCCTCCTCAACCTATCGGCAGCATTCGATACGGTCGACCACGCTATCCTCCTCCACCGCTTGTCCTCCCACCTCAACCTTCAAGGCCCTGTCCTTGAGTGGTTTAGGTCGTACCTCTCCCACCGTCTTCACTTTGTTTCCACGAACGGCTTTTCCTCCACCCCCGCACTGTCTCGTGCGGTGTCCCTCAGGGCTCTGTCCTCGGTCCCCTCCTCTTCACCCTCTATATGCTCCCCCTGTGGTGACATCATCCGCAGACATGGGGTTAACTTCCACATGTATGCGGATGACACCCAACTCTACCTTTCCTCCTCTACCCTCAACTCCACGACCACCAATGTCCTGACAGCCTGCCTGTCCGAAATTGAGTCCTGGACGAGAGACAACTTTCTTCAGCTCAACGTGCGAAAAACTGAGGCCCTCCTGATTAGCTCACGTCAGCGCCTCCGCACCTCAGGCGCTGACACCATCAGCATCCAAGGCTGCACTCTCCACCTCTCAAAGCCAGTCAGGAACCTCGGGGTTCTGTTCGACCCTGAGCTGTCCTTTCTCCCTCATATCCGCGCCACAACTGGCACCGCCTTCCATCACCTCCGGAATATCGCCAGACTACGGCACTACCTCACCCCTCACGCGGCTGAAACTCTGGTCCACGCCTTTATCACCTCAAGGCTGGACTATGGGAACTCTCTCCTCGCCGGCCTTCCCGCCCTCCCTCCACAAGCTGCAGGTCATTCAGAACTCTGCAGCTCGTGTACTGTCCCGCACCAGGCTTCGCGACCACATCACTCCCACCCTCGCTCGCCTCCACTGGCTCCCCATCCCCCAGAGGATTGAATTCAAGATCCTCATCCTCACCTACAAGGCCATTCACGGCCTTGCTCTCTCTGACCTACTATCCCCCTACTTACCTGCCCGTACCCCCCGTTCCTCTGGCTCCGGTCTGCTGCACACCCCCTGCCCCAACCGCCCTACCATCGGTGGCCGGGCCTTCAGCCTCTCAGCCCCGAGGCTCTGGAACTCTATCCCCCAGTGCCTTCGCCACTTCCTCCCTTTCCTCCTTCAAGGCCGGTCTCAAGACCTTTCTCTTTGACTGTGCCTTCAGCTCCGCTCTCGACTCTCTACCCCCTCCTCGCTCCCTCCCTTATCTCCCCTCACCCTGACCATCTCCCCCCTCCTCGCTCCCTCCCTTATCTCCCCTCACCCTGACCATTTCTCCCCTCCTCGCTCCCTCCCTTCCCTCCCCTCACCCTGACCATTTCCCCCCTCCTCACTCCCTCCCTCCCTTCCCTCCCCTCACCCTGACCATTTCCCCCCCTGCTCAGGTCCTGACCTACTGTACAACGCCTTGGGACGTCCTCCCGACGTGAAAGGCGCTCTATAAATGGAATCTTGCTGTTGTTGTTGTTGGTGGGTGGAATGTGGGTGGGGAGGAAACGCGACAGCATTCCTCACCATTCTATCCTCCCTCACAACCACTGGAGAGAAATCAGGAATGGGACAACCTTGGTTACTTTTCCCCCTCACTATCAATACCTGAGGAGCTTAGTGTTTACAGTTCCCAACTGAGAGCAGGTAATTGAGCGCAGACCAAAGTTCAAACACAAGTCCTTCTGCATGGTTTAGTGCATAAGGAATGAAAAGAGCAGGGTAGAGTCTATACCTATAAACTTTTGATTTAATCCTCAACAACCTTAAATGGCTTTATTACATTACAGTTTATGGTATCAAAACACATTATCAAAACACCCATACATTTGCAGGATTTAAAGGATGTCAAAGGAAATGTTTCTTGATTCTCCAATGATTTTTTTTGTAAATCATTCAAGCTTTTTTATCACGCAAGGTGAATCTTTATTAGATAATTGCCTCAAGTCCTGACCAATCTTACTTTTATAAAGAGTTTTGATATTTGTGTGAATATGTTCCAATTCTCAAAGGATTACATTCTACATTATGATTGTTATTGTTACTTGTATTTGGATCTGCTTTCCTGTAACAGCTCTTGCTCATGCCAGGAATTGTGAAAATTAGCTAATGTATTAGTTAATGGTTATTGTTTCCTGCAGTGCCCTTACTTATTTGAAACATTATGTGGTTGTGTGTGTTGTAATAGAAAGAAGGAAATTGATTATTTTTCTTCTGGTATTATTTTCAATCAGCAATTATGGGAACTTTAAGAAACCCCGAGGCAAATTAAATTCTGGGTTGGGTAAAAATAATGATTTTGTTTTGCACAGAATGTCACGTTTCCTGAACTCACTGTATGTGTGTGTGCGCGTGTATGTGTGTGCACGTGTGTTAGATTGTGTGCGTGTGCTAGAGAGAGAAATTAGAGATCAGGAATCTATTTTTTTTGATTAAAAAAACTCTATAAAGTCCCCTCTGAGCTGTCTCTTCAAGACTGAAGAGCCTGGATTGTCTAATGGTTGTCTTACTGTTTGTGGGACACTTCTGTGTGTAATTGGCTCCTGCGTTTTGTTCACAAAATATACAGTCAATCCACTTTACAATATATTCTAGGAAGTGCCTTGAGACATCTCAGTGATGTGATCAGGTGCTATATCAAATATCCAGTGTTATATATGCACAGTGAGCTGCAGGCTCTTTTGTGAGAGGTTACACATAAAGTTCCTGAAACACCCTGAAATAAGAAGAGAAATTGAACTTTGCAACATTTCCTGTGGCCTCACATTTACCAGAATATAAAAGGACCAACAGACGTACATAATTTTTCTAGATCTAGAATTAGATAAATCGTCTCTGCTACTGTTGATAATTTCTAGTAAAAAGAGAAGATAGGAGGAGAACTAGGTTTTCTTTTAACCTCTGGGGCAGAGTTTGAATTGAACCTGGCCTGGTGGGACAGGGTTTTCTCTGACACAGTTATGTCTATAAAATAATTATGAGCAGTTTCGAGCCAGCTCTTCTGTGCTCACTCTTTCCATCGCAATTTGAAATTCACTTTCTTTCACAAAATGGTTGAAAATACTATTTTCCGTAAATCCCTTTTGCCGGTCTTGAAAATTGCGCAAAACTATAAATATCCATCCTCCGAGATTAGTGAAAAATCTCAGTTTGAACTACGTGCCAAATAACCTTAATCTTTAAGAAATAATGTGTTCCTCTGCATAATACATATCTTGCTTTTCCCAGATTCTTGAAAGGTTTGCCTGTAAAGTCGGTGTCTCTATCAGAGCAGCTGAAGTCCAGTATCCAGACAGACCCAGTTAAGGCTGGAATTCAATACATTATCAGCACTAAGGTGAATTGACTTTATCAGTTTACTCCTTACTGTTTTTTGGGCATTACCAATGCTCTTTGTGCTGTGAAACGAATTGCAAGTTATAGGCATATATATATGAGTATGTGGCTGAAAAAACATTGCAGCCTTTGGGGTCCCTACTACATTGAATACCATACAACTGGATTGTTTAAAAGATGTATATTGCTTTGATTGATTTCTTTTCAAGTTTGGAGCAACAGGTTTGAGTTGAGATTACACAGTGGCCCATGTGATGCCATGCTGTATGTGCGATGTGCATGGAGCAGGCTGGTTAGGCTGACCTTTAATTGCTTTTATTGCTTGTCCTGAAGTTCTGTGCTTTCTTCACACAGGTAGGACCGGGACCACAGTTGATGGAAGGTCCAAACCATCACCTGCTTGGGAAGGATGGGCTTCCCAAGCAGTAGCTCTGAACATTCACCTTTCTAATGTTTGGAGGCCAGAACTGTAATAGCTGCAAGACTGTTTGTATCAATGATTATGTGAAAGCTGACAATTATTTGGCTATAGATACACTACGTACTCAGGAACTGAGTTGCACCATGTGTCTGTCTTTACTTTGTGGCATATAATACAAATGGTTGAATTATCTGCACGTTAATCTGTGGACAGGAGATGCCTGAATTCAGAAGATGCTCAAATAAGATATGTTTCCATGGAGAGATCTGATCTGCTGCCCACCTGGCTCAACTGCTCAATGTAACTGACCAATATATATAACTTGCGTGTTTTCCACTCAAGGGTACTGTCACCGCACAAGGACAAAAAGGTCTTCCCCTACCCTGGGAGATAAGTGCCTTGTCTCTCTGGCACGTTTTCTATGAGACGAGGCAGATGGTACCACATAGTAAATTATGATGTACTTAATTCTGAGACACTGTTTTACTGTTTCAGTGTTAAATGCCAAATGGTATTGGAATCGACTTGTTACCAAACATTGACTATTTATGTAACAGAAATGGAGTTGTGTCCTTTTGTAATTCCATATTAAATGATCTTTTAAATGCATTGTATTTGTTTGTATTTTTTTTAAATGGATGTTCATCCGGACTTTTTATTCACTCTTATTTAACAAAGATATCAATCCTTTATCTTGCTGGGGAGAGAGGGATTTTGGTCTTTGGAAAAAAGTTATTTTTCAGGATTCCAGTCTCATTTTGAACTGATTTTATTTGGAATTCTGAGTTTAAAAAAATATTGTTGGCTTTATTCTAATTACTAATTGAAATCAGTCTGCCATTATACTTTATCAATCATTATACTTCCACTTAAGTATCTGTTTTTAAACATCCCTATTGATTCAGCCTCTGCACAGCTGCGCACAGCATACCTCAGTTCTATCTTCGTCTACAGTTACGCCCCTTTGTAATGGGAAGAATTGTCCACAATCTATCCCATCAGTTCCTTTCATTAGTTTAAATACATCGATCAAACCGCCTTTAACCTTCTCTGCTCTTAAGGAATTATAACCCAAGACACTCTGTCGTCAATGCTAAACACCTTCAGCCTAGACATTCTACAAAAACTAAATGCTGACAAATATTGATCATAAGTTGACCAGATAAGCAGATAAACTGCTCCCAGGCTTCTTACCAATGGTGCCCAGAAATCGGACCTTGGACAAGTATGGCACAATAATATAATAATAATCCTTGCATTTGATATAGCGCTTTTCATGCCTTCTGGACGTCTCAAAGCGCTTCACAGAATAAACTGTAAAGTGAGTTGACTATGTTCGTGGGTGAAACGCGGCAGCCAATTGCACACAGCAGTGTCCCACAAACAGTCGTGGATTGAGTAACCAAACTATTATTGTATTTTTCTTGAGGGATTATCAGGCGTATGAAGTAAGGAAACTTCCCCAAGGTTTCACCCTGCTGGACTTTAATAAATAATAAGTAAATAATAATGCAATAAATAATAAAGGTGACTAATAATATAATAATAATGATCCTTGCATTTGGTACTAAACCATACTGAGTATCGCTGAGAAAAGGGATGAACTTTCATTCTACCACTCCCTACCAAAAGTCTGCTTTACGCCATAAAAACAGTTTAAAAATATCATCGACTGAATGTGCTTGGTCATTTTGGCACTCGAAGAACCAAATAGGCTCCTTCTGTGAATTAAGGTCTCACATTTAATGTTACAAAAGTCCTTGTCTGTGCTTTTCTTCAGCAGCATCAAGGTGGCACGAATTAAAGTATCGTATTATATTACATTATTCAGATCGCTGAATGCTGGCAGTACAATTCACGGGTAGAATGCATTGCTTTGAAAGAGCAATCCATTCAGTCCCATTTACCTGCTTTTCCGCCATAACCCTGCAAATTATATTTGAGGGCGCAGGCACAGGGTTCAATCTTCCGCCTGTGCGGAGTTCACCGATTTGCTAAATCTCGCTGCACATTTTTTGCCACTCCCGCCACTGTTTACTGGTGAACCTGGAGAACGGAGAAGGGCAGATTCACGCTGATTTGCCGGGAGGAGGGAGCACATGCACAGCCAGAGACAGTCTCTTGCCCTTGAGGTCCATCAGGACTTGCAACAAAATTGCCCGGTCTCTTCCGCCACGAGATATTCGTTACCGCATCTCGCACCTCCCTTGGGTGTTTTTCTTTGGGTGGGTGGGGGGGGGGGGGGGAGGGGGGGGTTTCTGACACAGGCGGAAACCCTTCACTCTGCGTAAAGAGTATCCAAACCAAACTGAGAATTCCGTGTGTCCCACAGGCGGGTGGGAATTCCCAGAGGGAGATGGTTCAGATGAATTTCCCTTACTCCCAGTTTTGTCTCAGTGGGCAGTGAGTGCTGAGTTAGGCAGAGCTTGGTGAGTGAGTGAGTGAGTGAGTGAGTGTGTGTGTGAGTGTGTGTGTAAGTGTGTGTGTGTGTAAGTGTGTGAGTGTGTAAGTGAGTGAGAGTGTGTGTGAGTGAGTGAGTGAGTGTGTAAGTGAGTGTGTGGAGTCTGGGCTGACTGTTACATTGGCTTTAACGCGTTGTATTGCATTCCTCTTGGATTGCAACACATTCCTCCCTCTCCCTCTCCTCCTCCTCCCCTCCCTCCCTCCCTCCCTCTCCTCTCCTCCTCCTCCTCCCTCCCTCTCCTCCTCCCCTCCCTCTCCTCCTCCCTCCCTCCCTCCCTCTTCTCCTCCCTCCCTCCCTCCCTCCCTCCCTCTCCTCCTCCCCTCCCTCTCCTCCTCCCCTCCCTCTCCTCCCTCCCTCCCTCCCTCTCCTCCTCTCCCTCCCTAACTCCCTCCCTCTCCTCCTCTCCCTCCTCCGCTCCCTCTCCTCCTCCCCTCCCTCCCTCTCCTCCTCCCCTCCCTCCCTCCCTCCCTCCCTCTCCTCCTCCTCCTCCTCCCTCCCTCTCCTCCTCCCCTCCCTCCCTCCCTCTCCTCCTCCCCTCCCTCCCTCCTCCCTCCCTCTCCTTCTCTCTCCCTCTCCTCCTCCTCCTCTCCCTCCTTCCCTCTCTCCCTCCTCCCCTCCTCCCCTCTCTGGTGAGATCGACATTGCCACAGAGTTGCCCCCGAAACAACTTGTGCGTTGTGTGTGTCACGTAGACAGAGAGAGAGAGAGAGAGAGAGAGAAGGAGGAAAAAAAAGAGAAGAGAGAGCAAAGGCATCAGGAAGTGACGAGAAGGCTCTGAGAGAGTGGAGTTACAGCGACGAGGAGTCGGAGTCGGAGAGTTCGGGGCTGAGGAAGAGAGGGGGAGAGAGAGAGGGGGAGAGGGGGAGAGAGGGAGAGGGGGAGAGAGGGAGAGGGAGAGAGAGGGGGAGAGAGGGAGGGGGAGAGGGGGAGAGAGAGAGGGAGAGGGGAGAGAGAGAGGGGGAGAGGGAGAGAGGGAGAGAGGGAGAGGGAAGGGGGAGGGGAGAGAGAGAGGGGGAGAGGGAGAGGGGAGGGGGAGGGGGAGAGGGAGAGGGGGAGGGGAGAGAGAGAGAGAGAGAGGGGGAGAGGGGAGAGAGAGGGAGAGGGGAGAGAGAGAGGGGGAGAGGGGGAGGGGGAGAGAGAGAGGGGGAGAGAGAGGGGGAGAGAGGGAGAGGGGAGAGAGAGGGGGAGAGAGGGGGAGAGAGGGAGAGGGGGAGAGAGAGAGGGGGGGAGAGAGGGAGGGGGGGAGAGAGGGAGAGGGGAGAGGGAGAGGGGGAGAGAGAGAGGGGGAGAGAGAGGGGGAGAGAGGGGGAGAGAGGGAGAGGGGGAGAGAGAGAGGGGGGAGAGAGGGAGGGGGGGAGAGAGGGAGAGGGGGAGAGAGGGAGAGAGAGGGAGAGGGGAGACTCCGCTCCGGGAGACATGGGGCAGATCGAGTGGGCGATGTGGGCCAACGAGCAGGCACTGGCAGCCGGACTGAGTGAGTGCCTCACCCCCCCTCACCCTCACCCCCCCTCACCTCCCACCCCCCTCACCTCCCCTCACCTCCCACCCCCCCTCACCCCCCTCACCTCCCCTCACCTCCCACCCCCCCTCACCCTCCCCTCCCCTCACCCTCCCCTCACCTCACCCTCCCCTCACCCTCCCCTCACCCTCCCCTCACCTCCCACCCCCCTCACCCTCCCCCCCTCACCCCCCCCCCTCACCCCCCTCACCTCCCACCCCCATCACCCCCCCTCACCTCCCATCCTCCCTCCCTCACCCTCCCTCCCACCCTCCCTCACACACTCCCTCACACACAGTCACTACACACACAGTCACTACACAACACACTACACACACAGACACTACACAACACACTACACACACAGTCACTACACACACAGACACTACACACACAACACACTACACACACAGACACTACACACACAGTCACTACACACACACACCTGCCGCTGTGTGAGGTTCTCTGTAACACTCTTCCCTGTTTCTGCTCTTAAGTTCGGTCAATGCTCTTAAGATGACTTTTTGTTTGTAGATAACTTGGCTTCCCCTTCCGCACCGCCTGCTGCGTGTTCAGTGCTGATTCTAGTTTGGGTTGTTTTACAGCCTTTTTGTACTACTACTACTAATAATAATAATAATGTGATTTGTTGGTGGAGTTTTTTATTTTAAAAAAAAAGCTAAACCAAATCTATTCGGGTTCACAGCCCACAGCCTTTCTCTCTCTTTCTCTCTTTGTAACCCAATTTGGAGCAAACCTATAAAGTTTACCCCTTCACTCCCTCCCCCCCACTGCCAAAATAGATATTTATATCTCAAAACTAAATAGATATACTCTTGCAAGCAGCCAGATGTTTTCTGTTAAAGTTGAAGGTCATAGCAGTCTAATGTTAATCAGGATTGTGCGGTTTTACGCACCCTTTTAGTGAGATTTTTGCGTGTAAAATATTTCTTTCCTTCTTCCCTCTGTGAGTAATGAAGTTTCAACATTTGTAATGTACTTCCTTATTTTAGTTCTACTCATAGGCGGGGTGGTGGGAGTGGCAGGCCAGTTCAAACACTGGGAATTCGCTGCTTACGGAGTGTATCCTTTTCCTTGTGGAATAAAAATAATAATAAAAGGAACCAACGACTTTCAGAGTCTCCCATCACCGTAGAAGAATCATCGGGAATCTACCACCACGAGCGCTGCAAGTTGGAGATGTAACCGATAAAGTTCAGAGTCTCCCATCACCGTAGAAGAATCATCGGGAATCTACCACCACGAGCGCTGCAAGTTGGAGATGTAACCGATAAAGTAGACAGGGAAATGCAGTGTATGTAGTGTGTCTGGAGTTTCCCGAAGGCCTTTGATAAAGTGCCACATGAGAGGCTCATGATTAAAATAGGGCATGGACTGGTTGGGCTGAGTAGTCTGCTTCCGTGCTGTACATTCTTTGTAAATCTTTGTAAATCGTTAAATGCTATCACACCAACCCAAGTTTTAAAGTATTAATGCAACACAACATTCAATATCGAGAAGCGAAGGATAAACAAAAGCAAATCCGCTCCGTCTGGAATTTAAGGTACATTATTGAAGGATGTGTCAGAGCTCAAGCTTTGATTATCAGGCTGCATTTTCGCCCACAAAATACACAATGCACTTTGCAGTGTATCCTTTGAGACGTCTCAAGGACATGATAAGTGCTGTATCAAATACAAGATTATTATTATTATTTTTATTGTATTGAGTTGGCTGATTCTAGTGAACTCCATTCCAGATCTCGGAAGAATTAGGTATTACTGTAGGTTGTTTGTCAAAGGAAGGAGTAGTTGCTGAATGATTGTACCATGGAGCTTTTTTCTTTAACTTGTGATACTCAGTGCTGCTGGAGTCTTCATCATGTTATTGGAATATCCCAGAGGAAAGAGAAGAAAGGGAACAACCATGGAAAGACCGTAAGTAAATGAATAAGTTGTGTGTGTGTGTATCCTAAGTATATAACAGTGAATTTGTTCTATTTACTCAAAGCATCAGTAAAGAAATAAAGAAACTGTAGCAGAAAAATAAAGTGGGAGGAGAGGGGAGTGGGGTGGGGGGGGATTGTTTTGCCTTTTTCATAATGTGCCTTTGTGGTTCCAATGCTTTCGTTCCATCCTTACTTCTCTCTTGTGTGTCTAGGGGTCAGCGGTTTCTGGCAGCTGTTGTGAAGTTGTTTGGTCCTTTAACTCGGAATTACTATGTCCGTGCTGTCCTACATGCGTGGTAAGTTCAATAGCATACCTCCATTCCACTCTTACCCTGGAAACCTGAAAAACCGCACTTTCTTTCATCACCTTAGTTTGCTCTGACTGGTATTTGAGGGTAGGAACCAGGTAGATCATTTATTGTCTGTTCATTGATTGGTTCCATGTGAAGCTGATGTAAGTGGTAACCATATATTGTACAACGCTTTGACCAATGCCATTCGTAGTTTTCAGTCCTCTTCGCGGTTCTTAGTCTAAAGTGCTGTAAGGGAGGGCGAGAGTCTTATGTGGGAGTTGGAAGTGGCAGGATTTCTGGTGGCTGGTCACAGAGGGCGTTGGCAATCAAATTAACATGAATAACCTCTCTGCTCTGAGCAGACAGAGATGAAAATAGACACACACACAAAAAACACCCAACAAGCAAAATCAACAATAAGACTAAAGGCGAAGGGGTTGGGAAGTGACTTTCAGTAAATTAGAACCTGTTGCCTGCCTGGCAAATGTGTTCAATTAATTGTCCTGGTCTTCGTGATTCACCGATAAAATACTTTGTTCATTTTTCTTATTTCTGCTCAAGGTTGTAACAGCATTTAGGCAGTGTGTTATTTTATATGTCTAGTAAAACATATATATATCCACTGAATTGTTACTGGGTTCGTAAGGTTTGCAACAGACAGTAGGATCACAGGGGCACCTCTAACACATTCATCTTGGCTCTCTGCAGTCTCGCAGTCCCTGGAGGTTTTATTCTACCTACTGTCCTTGGTACAGTCAGCCTTGGCATTGCCAGTCTCATCTATCTACTGGTGAGTCAGTTTACATTTCTCGAATATGATTGAATACACCTGAAATAAGAATTTTCACGCAAATCCCTGCAGCCTTTCCTCCTATGGGAATGCTGTCAGATTGTTAGAGGGAAAGTTACTCATTGGATGGATGCTTTGTCAAAAATCCAGTCTTTTCCCCTAAAACCTATGGATGGATGAATTGTTTGTGACCTGTTAAATGGTGACTAATTAGATGTTTTATCTTATTGTAAGTCACCGAAATTCAACCGGTCCCAATATATCATTGGTTATGGTACAGTTGGATCAAAATTCACTTTATTTTACCCTGCCACTTCCTGCCTCTGAGCAAGTCACATCTATAGTAGACATCAGAGCCCTCTGGGAACCAGCATTCTTCAAACTCCAGATCCTTAAAATTACCTTGAAAATGTAATAATAGTTATTATATAGGAAACAAAGGAATTGTTCGTTCCCGCCCAGGATTACCTCTAGGTAGGGGTAATAGCTTCATTGAGTTGGCACTCTGCTGTATCTCAGGAAGTGATAGTAACACAGCATTTAATTGCAACTTTTGTTTAAAATAATTTAGATTTTACCTTTAAATTTTCAAAGGACCTCCTTAGCTTTGAAAATCACACATAGGCAACAATGTAAGAATAGCCTGAACCAAATGCAACAAGTCACTGAGGAGTTTAGTTGCTAATTGCGGCCATCACACATTTCTCCTTTTTTATGACTCACCTTGTATGAATTTATTTTGATTTCTATTCATCTAAATGAATCTGGCTCATTAATATTTACAGTGCCCCCGTCTAGGTTTACAACAAATGTAGTTTCCCTGAAAGTGAAAATGTGAATTAAAATCAATTTGCTTTAATTGTAGTAATAATAATCTTCGTATTTGATAAAGCATCTTTCATGTTGAGAGGACGTCTCAAAGCGCATCACAGGAATTACGCATCACCGTGAAGGGCAACCGCTGTAGTTTGCAGGCGTATTATAAAAATATCTGTATCGTTATCAATCTAGGCTGCAATTCGAGAAGAGGAATGGAAACCTATACTGCACCAATCTAGTGAGACCTCCCGAGTGGGAAAGAGTATCCATCAACCCCCCATGAATCCCCCTCCACGACCGCCTGCCGAGCAACGAAGGAAACAAGCAGACGACATCCCAGCTGCAGCTGCCTATGTGGTCGCCACACCCATCACTGCAAACTCTCAGTGATATCATTGCAACCTAATCTGTAATGTGATTGAACAGAATTATGTCGATGTGTATATGGGTATATTCTTGAGTATGACTCCGGACCAATCTTAAGTGACATTATGCTTTTATTTTTGTTTAAATGTGAGCTGATTGTTTTGTGATACAGATTTCTGCATTCTTGTTTACTTATTGTGATGTTATGTATAGTGTTTTTGGCTTAACCTCCTCAGTTTTGACCAGAATTGTAATATTTTAACATTTTGCAACACGTGAGATTTGTTCATTGTAAAGTTCAAACAAAATAAGTAAAATGTGATGTTGAACATTTGATTTGCTGTTTGCCAGACAGAGGGGCAATTTTTTTCTGTGTAAATTGGATTTTAAAACTTGTTTTATAGTCAATACAACATATTGCTGAACCAAGAAATGACTGCACTTCTCCAAACTGCACCAGAAAAATTAGATCTGCCTTTGAAAAATAAGCAAACGTGTTTTGATTGTTTTATTGTCATGTTTCACAGTTGCTGCAAGGAATATTCTATATCTGGCAATATTGTAAAAGACAGGATCATTTTATTTTTGAAAAATGCTGCCCGATTTCTTTGCTGTTCCATCGACTTCCATTTTCTCTGTTTCGATTTTACCTCCAAAATATCTGCTGACTTCTTCCACAGTGAGAGGCAGGAATTGTTGTGTGATTGCAATGTGAATCAAGTCTTTTCTCACTGGTCACTGATCCATTTCCCAAACAATCAATTTTCTTCAAGGGATCCAGTTTCTGCATTGGAATGAAGTATTAACTGTGATTAATCACATTCCTCTGAAGATTACGTCCTTTGGACAGAGGCCATGACTGAAGAACATATATAATTTAAAGGCAAAGGCCTGAAGATGTAAAGGGATTCAAAAGGGTGGCTAAAGAGAAACTATTTCATCTGGTGGGAGGAATCCAGGGCGTAGTCTTAAAATTCGAGCAAGGCCATTTAGGAGTGAAATCCAGAAGGATTTTTTCACACAAAGTTGTGGTAATCTGGAAATCTCCCCCAAAAGGGCATGGATGCTAGATCTATTCAAATTCAAGACTTGAGGTGGATAGATATTTGTTAGGTAAGGGTATCAAGGGATATGGAGGGAAAGGCAGATAATTGGAGCGAGGTATAGATAAGCTATGATCAAATAGAATGGTGGAACAGGCTCAAGGGGCTGAATGGGCTACTCGGGTTCCTAAAAATTATGGTTATGGATGTTGCCTCTTCTATATTGTGTACTACAATATTCTTACTTTTGAGACACCTATGGGACGGATCAAGACTGAAAGAGGTACAAGAGGAAAACAGGATAAATCAATTGGTAACAGCAACATGACAAAACCAAACTGCAATAATAATTCTTGTAGTTTCCCACTTTTACAGCTATCAAATCTTTGCCCTCGACTTCAGAATGGCGTTGACAAAAAGTTGTTTGGGAACAAGTTAACTCTTAACCATTCCACTGAACATGGTATGCAGAAACCTGAAACCTATTGTGGGAAGGGAAAATAGGGAAATAAAAACAATAAAGGATTTTAAGGTTTGATGGGATGTCAAGGTTTCTCTCTGAGCCAGAGAGCTATTGGAATTTGCATAGTTGCCAACAGGGAGCAGGTCTGTAACAGAGTTGATGTGATCCAACTTCACATCTCCCAAGAGTTTACCTTCTGTGGAATCTTCCTCATTCACCTTCCACCTACAAATCAATAAACCTTTAAACAAATAGGGAAGATTGCAGAACTCTTGCCAATTGTATAGACCTTTCTCTCATTTATATTGCTCAACTCATCTGGACCAGTAATATCCCTCTATTTCTTCCACCTTTTGAGGATTAAAGCAGCCCTATAGCATAGTGGTTATAGCACTCGCCACGTAAGTGAGAGGACTTGGGTTCGAGTCCCGTGCAGGGTGAAACCTTAGGCAAGTTTTCTTAATCCACACTTCTTTGTCTACCGAGCAATAAATAGGAACCCAGTTGTTAGTCAATAGGCAGATTGTTTCTGGGACTAATAATATCCACACACACGCAAAAAAATGTGGTCACTCAATCCATGAATGTTGGTAGGACACTGCTGCGTTTTTCCCCCCAAAATACAGTCAATTCACTTGACAGTATATTCTGTGAAGCACTTTAAGACTTGATAAGGCGCTGTATCAAATGCAAGGATTATTATTATACACAAACTAGAGTACTGCAGAGTGCCCAGTAGCAGATTTAGGAAAGCTGTTCTACTACATACTCCCACACAAAATTAAAATCAGACAGCAAACGGGATCAGTTTGAATTTTTTTTAATAAAAGTTAAACAAAAATGATTAAATGGACAGGAATCCTCTAGAAGTGGCACTCACTTAAAGTATAAAGCACATTATGGCTCTGGTAAATATAGTCCAAGAACAGAGATCTCAGAAATAAAGCAAATTCGTAAAAGTTTTTTTAAAAAAATGCCTCCACCATAACAGAAACAAATTAACATCAATCACAATACACACAGTAGTCAGCAAATAACCAATTAACAAATTAGCACAACCATTTACACTGAACTGCAATAGAGTAATATAGCAGAATAAACTTTGTCAGACAGAATCACTGCTTTTTTGAACTAATACACAGCTCAGTCTTGGGAGTTAAAAATGAAATATTCTCTATATAAACAGTTTTAAATTTAAAACAGCGTTAGGATGCTCTTCAATCCATAGGAAGAGGAGGGGGAGGGAGCCATCAGAGCTAAGTCAGTGCTCACCCTACACATATTTTACACCAGGACTCAGAGTACTGTTCAGGAGTGGGTACTTAGGTCGATTTTCCCTTCTGTTGCCCAAGGGCACTGAAGCTAATTATAAGCATCTATAGATGTTCAAATCAAAGATCAGGCCTGACACTTTTCTGATTTGTCCGTTTATCTTCCTCAGTTGCACACTAGGCAGCCATCAATTTAGACAGCATTAATTTATCAACTAAATTATTCGGAGAGCTAAGTATTTCTAATGGAATGCTTTCACAGCGCAGATCCCAGTTAAGTGAATAAATTACGTACCAGTCTGCTTTTACCTAGATTTCTGTTGCACGGCTATTTTTATTTATTTGATTAAAAGTTCACAACACGCTCTATACGAAAATATACAAACTGAATCCAGAATGTTTTTCTAAAAACGACAAAAAAAACTTCAGTAGGATTTTTAAAAAAACATCTTTCACAACCAGAATAAGCATTATTAGGAGTGATAAGTGAAAGGTTAACTTTATCAGCTGCCACGTATAACGTGGTTTTTAAAAATAAGATGCCTGGACATCAAGAATTAGCACAAGTGACTATCTGAATTAAAACTTGACAGGAGTTGAGTTGCTTTTAAAACTGTAGAGCAAATGGAATATCTGTCTTAATGGACAAAGTCCACTTCTTAAAATTACATTACACAATCCTTGTAGGTCCTGACAACGCATTTTTAAAGCAGGAAGGCCAAAGAGAAGAGGAGGAGGATGTGCCTAAGCTCGCCAGGAGGTGCACAGTAATACATATGGACCCAAATTAGAAATCTGAACATCTACAATTTTGGATCCATTGAAATGGTGTCCCAAATAGATTGGATACCATTGAATGCAGTGCTACTGGTAGAGAAACTGTGGATCTTATAAATATTGATAAACTATGGATTAGTACTATTGGTTTGGGAAAATCAGAGTTCAAAACCTTACTGTACATGATGCTTTCTAAATGGTTTAGGTAGCTCATTGCACAAAACGTAAGTTTCTCAGGTCTTGTCCAAACTATTGGTATCTATAAAGTAATTGGCATTCAGCGACTTTGGTGTTCTGTAGTTTTCTGATGAAGTAGTTGCAAAGAAAGTTTAAAAATAAATCTGCTTTTTAAAATGACACAGCTTTGGCTATTTTTCCCTGGAATTTTCCTTAATAAAAATATTTCCTGAGAATGCATGCATTGTCAAACTGGAACAAACTTTGGCCCAAAACACCATAATTTAATTTTGGCAATGTCACAAAAGGCCATACACATACCATAGAACCAATTCTGTGATGAATTAGGATTTAAAATGCAATCAATCGCTTTGCAAACCTAATGCAGCATTTTTTCATGTCAATCACCTTTATGCAAAATAAAAAAGCACATACTACAAAATAGCAATTCAATGGTATAACTTGCTTCTGCGTTGAACACAATTCAAATCGGGTTTTAATCCTTGCGGCAATAGAAGTCAATTTATTCAGGCACTTAAATGAATCATTGACAAGAGAAATAGACACACAGAGGAAGTGAATCTATCCCAGCCTTATGAAAATGATTGGTAATTCAGCAAAATTTTAGTAACTTGGGTTCAAGCCCCAATACAAGATCAGATGGAAGTTATTTTTGAATCGTGCCACGTATCCAGTCCCCATTAATGTGCAGTTCATTCTGATATTGCTTTCATGAATTCCTCCACATCTTAGTGGTAAATGGTCGCTTAAAATTAATGTTAAATGGCACAATTTCATTCCTCTTCGCCACCATACATGTCAGCAATTTTCTTGAAGCGTCCGCCCCAGTCTTTCACGTAGTCAAAGTCCTGGTCTTCATCAGAATTGGAGCCTGAGTTTATTGTGCTTAAAGATCCTGCCTCTGACCCCTCGCCTTCATGATCAAACACCAGAAGGGTGTCGTAGGGAGGGGCTGTGGGATCAGTGTCAGCAGCTTTCAGATTCTGTGAGAGGCAAGGCAAAGTGTTGATTATATATAAAATTTGCCTACGAATGCAATCATTACAATACAGTGTATTCGCCAAACAAATCGATTTCAAGATCCTCACACTCATTTTCAAATCCCTGTATGCCCTGGCACCTCCCTACTTCTGACCTGCTTACTCCCCAACCCACTACCTCTGCTCGACTAGCTCCGGCCTCCTGCATGTCCGTTCCACCATCAGTGGCTGCACTTTCAGCCACTACACCTCCTGGACTCTACACTGCGCAAGGGGCTTCATATAAATGCAAGTTGTTGTTACAGTGAAACATTTCAAGGCAAACACAATAAAGCACTATATCAAAATGCAAGGATTGTGATATAAAACACCCCCATAATTCTCTAAAGTAACATCTAAATTAAATAGCTAATCCAACACCAAGCATTTCTGATTACAAGTAGCCTTGTTTACAACATGAAAACTATTTAGCAGATTAAGTTAACTGAAATTTTCTCCCGGTTTCTAGATATTCAAGGATGATACTCTGGTTGATAATTTATCCAGGATGTGGGTGTGAGGTTGTAAATGGGAAATTAAAAACCTTTGGAGAATCACCTCTGTTGTGGTGATGTCCCATGGACATGTTCGGGGATTTGTACATTATTAAGTAATCTATTTTAGATTATACCAATAACGACTGATGCCTTACCTCATCAATAAAGTTGCCAATTTCATCAGGGTTCGCTGGGCGTGGCAGATATCGAGGAGCCGGCATAAACGTTGGAACCACATCATTACGAACAATTTCATGTTTGGCATCTAGACCCCTGTGCAGTTGACTGAGATCAAAATCCTGTTAAGTGGTAGAATGTGGTTCAGTGATCATAAAAACAATTTTTAAAAAAAAATAAAGCATCCCAGCTCCATTGACTCCCCATCCCCCAGAGGAGCGAGCTCAAAATTGTCGTCCCTCCACAGCCTCACTCCTCCCCACCTCTGCGACCTGCTAATTCCACATCGACCGATTCGTTCCCTCCGCTCAGCGGGTTCTGGCCTGCTCCGTGTCCCCCACTCAGCCCGGCATTGACAGTCGGGCATTCAGGCTCTCCGGCCCTGCCGTTTGGAACGATATACCACAGTTCTTTTGCCTGTTTCCTCGCTTTAAACCCTCCTCTTCATTTGTGCCTTTGGTCACCCACCTACCCCCCCCCTTTGCCTTGCCCCCCCCTTGCCTCTTTCAAGGCCCATCTCATGACCCTCCGTATCTTCAGTCACGCTCTTAACCTCCCTGCCCTCCACCCCTCCTGATCTCAACCCCCAGTTCAGATCCAAATCCCTGACTGTCCAGTGCTGGGTCGTCCTCCCGACGTGAACAGAAATACAATTCGTTGATGGATAATTTGGATTTGATAAAATATGAAGATTTAGATTTAATGAGGAATTTGGTATTGATTAAAAATTTAAGAGTTACCCTTATACATTCTATTATTACAACACGAACCTGATCCTCCTCACCACCTCCCTCTTCATCATAATGGTACACACTGTCCCGAATGTCTTCTTCAAGTAAGAGGGGCTCCTTTGGCGTCCTCTTTCTCTTTTTTAGAAACAGTAGAAGAAGCAACACTAGGACTGGAGGAGGAAGAAAATTAGCTATCTACACATCAATATTTCCTATTGCTTTATATTTAATATTATATAATTCAGTTCAAATCAACATCTTCAGAAATGTAATTGCCTATGAACCCAATGCACCAACTCTAGTGAACAGGTATTGAATTGTAAAGAAACCGTTAACGACTTCAACATGGACCTATAGTCTTATTTTATCCTTCCCGGCCATAATCTTTATACAGGTATTATGATAAATAAGCAGGAGCTTTTAAAATTTCCCCCCAAATCTGCCAAAATTTGCAATCAGAGATTTTTAATATATAAATCGGAAGAAAAAGGAAAACCACAAAGATAATCAGTCAGTGACTTCACACTTAAAGCTACGTCATCATACATATATTCTCGCTTGGAAGAAGCTTTGAATCAAAGCTAAATTCAAATGAAGGCGAGCACACTAAATACTTACGCAGCAATGCCAGGATAGAACCCAGAATAGCAAAGATCACCGGGTAACCAATAACAGCCGCTCTGTATCCAGGCTCACATGTTCCATCACTTCTACAATTGCACACCTTCACGGCCAAACCTGTGACCTGGGAAATCGATGGATGGCCACTGTCTGTTACTTTCAGGGAGACCTCATATGATCCAGCTTCAAGCTCTTTGTTCAGTCTTATCATCAGATGATTTTCTGGGAACCGGGAAGAAAAGATCAAAATAGTAGTAAGAATCATTACCTAGCCATTTAACAAATCAAAACAGAAGGATTTCTAAAGCTGGGTGGAGTCGGGGGGGGGGGGGGGGGGGGGAGGGAGGAAGAGGTTTCACTTCCATTACAACTGATCTCCCAAAAAATGCTCTAATATCATTTAAACACTGCATGTATAGAAAATGCAACTAATTTCCGATTCAGTATGCCGATTCAATAGCAGCTTTTAAGAGAGAAGTAGATAATTATTTGGGGAGGACAAGTTTGCAGGGTAGGGAGCTGGTAGGGAGCAGGCGAGTGGGATTGATTTGGATAGCTCTTTTCAAAGAGCCGGCAGAGACACGATGGGCCGAATGGCCTCCTTCTGTGCTGTATAATTCTATGATTGAGGAAACCAGATAGACCAATTTGCATTAATAGGAGCAATCTCCCCCATAAAGTATACATTAGAATACATCAGAATATACAGCACAGAAACAGGCCATTCGACCAACTGGTCTATGCCAGTAATTTCCCAAATAAAAGTTTATTCACTTATTTCTCCCCGTAAAACCTCACCTTCCAGCGCATTTTGAGTATGATCTGATTTGTATTTTTTTTTAAAAAGTGACTTAAAAGCTATGCATGCAATTCCATAAAGTGATTAAAATTGCTCAATTTTACATGTCACAAAACATCTTGGAATACTTTAAGGCAATTGCAAACCATTAAAACTGGGTACCAAACATTTTCATATTAAGATCATTCATGAGGTTTCTTTCTAAACAAAGGATTGTAAAGTAACTACAGTGGAACCTAAAATGACAGATGAGAGGAAAGAGCTCCCTGAGTTCTACAGATGGCAAAAATTTTCAAACCGCAAAGACGTTTGCAAGAAAGTTTCGAATATATTCTGCACCAAAACCACATCCTGGTTCAGACATTATTCTCCAATACTCTGGACATTCCCACTAACGCAAAAAGATATAGGTTCCATTTAAAGCCAATTTGAAAATAAAATTTAGATTTAAAATGCTCCATAAAAGGTACGAAGAAAAAAAAAAAAAACCCTTACCATCTACTTTCTCAACAGTCCAGTTTTTCTCAGCTCCGTGAACTGCCTCCACGTAGTACGGGTAAGTGTTTGGTGGGATGTCTTTGTCTATAATGGTTACGTTCATTGGTTCAGGATTCTTATTACACAACTCATAAACTGGAGCATCAACAACAGGTCCATTGTCGTTGATGTCTTCAAGCTCTAAAAGAAGAGTCCCAGTACCAGTGGCAGATGGAGATCCTGCAAAGGATAAAGATAGACAAACCTTTGAATTCTATGAGAACTGGCAAAAGATTCTTTACATGAAGTAATTCAGATATTGCTTTTTGCTATAAGAACCTAGGCCAGGATCGAAATACACAATTGCAACTTTTGTTTCCCCCAAAAAACAAAGGACATGAATTACATGTGCGTTTCCCCCACAAAATATATACGCTTTACAATATTTTCTGTGAAGCACTTTGAGATGTCTTAACCTGATAAAGCACTCTCTCAAATGCAAGGATTATATTTATTACTACATTAGTAAGTCATCCCATTTGAAGCGTCTAATAGGGCAGTAGTTCAACTCCGCAGAACTTTCACTGAATGGTCGTTATAATGGCCCTGTCGTGCTTCAACAGTGGTTGTTATAAACACTAGCGGTACACTTGGGTTTCAATTGAATTGGAATTCCATCACTGTTGATGACCAGGTCATTTCAGGTGCCACCACTATCATCTGTCACCGATGACAATTTTTAAAAATGTTACCACTCACCATTATCAGAGGCCAGGATGGTTGCAGTGTATATGCTGTTCTGAACAAAGTCAGACTCTCTATCCAGGTTATTATCTACCGTAATGACACCCGTCACAGAGTCAATCGCTAACCAATTCCCAGGGTTACTGCCCATTCGGTACCTGCAACACAATATGCATGAGTTATAACAAAACCTTTTAATTTGCGTTAAAAGCTTGGGCTTGTTGGGGGTGGGGAAGAGTTTGCACATTAACACAAAGCCTTCATCGGAAAGTGGCCTGTGTAGCCAGGGTGCAATTCATCTTGCATACAATTTACTCAATCTGTGGGATAAGTCATAACACTCACTTTATAAAAATCTGAATGCAGCCCAGTAGTGAACTCACACTCTACAGCATCTATAATGATGGAATATCACAGTAATTAACATTATTTTTAGTGATTTTAAAAAATACAATGGTAACTGGCAAAGTGAAATTCCTTAAAAGCTAATATTATACCTTATGGTTTGGTCTTGTTCGACATCAGGATCCCTTGCATTGTATGTGGTCACTGTGGCTCCCACGGGCAGATTTTCAGGATGTTTCACCTTCTTTTCCACTGGATCAAATTCTGGTGCTTCATTCACATCTTTAACTGTAATGGTGACTGTGGCTGAAGATAATGGACTGGTGAAAAACAGTTTTTCCTCATTCTCCACTTGAATGACCACCACGTGCTGCTTCTTCCTCTCAAAGTCCAAGGGCTGCCAATTTCAAAAGAGACATTTCAACTCACTGTTGCATTCAATGTTAAAGGGGGTGGTAATACGACACAAACAGAGATCATTTCCCCAAATAAGCCATGATATAATATTTCCCCACGTCCCTTGAAAAGTTAAACTTTGAAATGAGGAGAACAGTCAAATGCAACCCCAAGAGCCTAACTCAATGCATGGAGTCTCACCACGTCCTAAGTTATACACCTCTGACCCACCTTTGTGACTTGAAGACATTTTGGCTGTGTGAGCTATAAAGTGTAACCACCTGTTGCCATATCCTACAGTACATATCTTAATTTTTTTCAATATTTCCAAGTTCATTCCAACAACAAGTTACAAGCAGCATAGGAAGAAGATTACCTGGACTATCTTGACAATTCCTTCATTGGTCTCCAAATCAGTCTCCATGGAGAACTGTTTGCCCGAATTCCCATCGACTATGCTGTACTTTGCTCTCCAGGCTGGTGTGTGGGGCAGATCGTTGTCATCCACACTAAGCCTCACCACCTCATAATCCACTGTATTTTCTGGAGCTATAGCATTACTCTGCAATTCAATAGGAGTCAGTTAACCACAACCAACCATTTGAAATGCACATATGCCGGTGACAGCTATTGTCCAGTACTGCAATTCTACACACCATGTCAGAAGTAAAAAAAATGTTTCTTTTACCGTTTTGACCAAAAATTGAGGGGCATTATCGTTTTGGTCCAAAACCGTAACTATAGCTGTGGCCGTGGTGTGCAGACCGTCTCCTTCCATATCTGCTGCTTGAATTACAAGGATGTATTTGTCCACTTTCTAAAATAAGAGGGAAGAAAAGAAACAAAAAGCTAAGAATATATACACACACCCTGTTAATTAATTGCATTAGGTCAAACTCAGAATACAATAACCCCTTCTTTATACAAAACATTTACACTTTGCTTATTTCAATGCAATTCAGAAGTAGAAACAGAACAAAAAAAATTATTGTAATTTCAGTAGCATATTACTGATAAGATCCAGAGGAGACGTCCCATCTCCACTCATGGCACAAATTAAAACTGTACAATCAAAGGGTTTCACTACAATTACTTACCTCTCTGTCAAGTTCAGGGAAACTAAGACTAATTAATCCTGTGCTTTTGCTGATTGCAAACATGAAGTTCCTGGGAATTGGTGGTTGTTGCTCCACAATAGAGTACACAATTAAGGAATTCAGAGAATTTGGATCATCTTTGTCTGTAGCGCTTACATTCATGAATGATGTTCCTAAGAAAACACAAAAAATCCAAACTGATTGCATCGTCCTCTGGAATATTATTTTCTTCCTAAATCTCTAGAAATAGGGTTATAGAATAATAATAATAATAATAATAATCCTTGCATTTGATATAGCGCTTTTCACGTCGGGAGGACGTCCCAAAGCGCTTCACAGAACACACTGTAAAGTGAATTGACTGTATATTTGTGGGCGAACGCGGCAGCCAATTGCGCACAGCAATGTCCCATAAACAGTCGTAGATTGAAAATGACCATTTAATTATTGGTTTTGGTTTTGGAGGGATTATTATTAGGCTCTGTGTGGAGTAAGGAAACTTGCCCAAGGTTTCGCCCTCTGCCTGGAATTGAACTCAGGTCTCTCGCTTGCAAAGCGAGTGCTCTAACCACTGAGCTCCAGGACTCCACAAAATAGAAAGCATCAATTTATATTGTGCTCCATCATACTGTACGTTTCAGATCAGAGTCACAACAATTAATTACAAAACTAATCCAAAATTGAGATTTACGGGCTATGTAAAGTTTCATTTCAAAATGTCAAGAGGTAAAGTTTACAATAATACTATAATAATCCTTGCATTTGATACAGTGCCTTATCACATCTTCAAGACGTCTCAAAGTGCTTCACAGAATATCCTGTAAAGTAAATTGACTATACTTTGTGACCGCAATGTGGCAGCCAATATTGCGCAGCAGTGTCCCATAAACAGTCGTGGATTGAGGGACCAATTTAATTTTTTTTTTGAAGGAATTATTACCCCTGGAAAAGCGATCTGCCAATCGACTTACAACCGGAAGGAAATTGACAAAAGTAGGCAAGGAACAACTCTTACCCTGAGTAGCAAATCAGAAACAGTGAATCATAATAATTCTTGCATTTGATATAGCGCTTTTCACGTCGGGAGGACGTCCCAAAGCGCTTCACAGAACACACTGTAAAGTGAATTGACTGTATATTTGTGGGCGAAAGCGGCAGCCAATTGCGCACAGCAATGTCTCACAAACAGTCGTAGATTGAAAATTACCAATTTATTATTGTTTTTGGAGGGATTATTATTAGGTGTGTGGAGTAAGGAAACTTGCCCAAGGTTTCGCCCTCTGCCTGGAATTGAACTCAGGTCTCTCACTTTTAAAGCGAGTGCTCTAACCATTGAGCTACAGGGCTCCACATAATATTAAATGTTATATTAATGTTATAATATTAAATAAGAAAACAGAAAATTATAAGCATGCGGTTTGCTAGTCCAAGGTGGTGAACAGTCAGGGATTTAGAGAAAAGGGATTAAAATTAAATAGTTGGTTTCACCTAATAAATTGGCAGAAGAGTGTTCATGGCAAAAATGGACTGATGACATTCCTATGCTTGTTAAAAACTAGAAGTAAGCCATACTTATTTGTTTGAGATATAGAATAAAATAACGTACCTGATGCGGCCCCTTCCATTACAGAGCCATAGAATGTTGAATCGGTGAACTCTGGTTTATTATCATTCTGGTCAATGACGTTAATGACTAGTTCCATTGGATCTTCAGCCTCTTCTCCAGTCGCTGTATCTATTGCATGAGGGATGAGCTGCACAGAAGAATTCAGGATTATATTAAGGACTTGCACTCATAGCACTGCTACACAAACACCTTATTTACATTTTTGGTATAGCATTTTACACGTGAAGAGAATGTTCCAAAGCACTTTACAGGTTATACCGTAAAGTGTGGTGACTGCATTTGTCCATCCAGCGTGGAGGGCACTATATAAATCCAAGTTGTTGTTGTGGGTGAAACGGGACAACTAATTTGCCTACAGCAAAGTCCCACAAACAACCATAGAGTGAGTGACCAATTTAATCTGTTAGCCAGGACACCAGGAGAAACTCCCTCTTATTCAAATAGTGCCATGGGATCTTTAACGTTCATCTGCACAGGCAGATGGGGCTCAGTTTAACATCAAGGACAGGACTTACAACAACACAGCATACCCCTCAGCACTGCATTGGAGTGTCAGCGTAGTCTATGAGTTTCAAGTTCCAACCTGGGGCTTGAACCCACAATCTTCTGACTCAGAGGCAAGAGTGCTAACTCGGCCAGGCTGACACATTAAACTACCTCGTTAGGTAATTATTGATGAATGTAGTGCCTGTATTTTTTACAGACAGATTTGGAAATCTACCAAGAGGTTCTATGCTCAGTTGCTTAAAAGCAGATCAAACAGGATTTACACACTTGGTCTTAATGATAAAGATCCTCCGTGAATACCAGTGTTGCTGTATGTCAGAACACTTGCATTACTTAAGTTTATAGTACATTTGCATAGGATAGATAGCTAATCTGCCAACAGACAGAATTTAAACAATTTATGTGAAAACATTGCTTGACTTTGCGTAACATTTCATGAAACCAGTCTAGTTTGACGTTACCTTTTTTTTAAAGTAACATTTCTCTGTTCCTATGCTCAACCTTCTCTCAGTATTCTTGCTCATAGCAGCTAACAAACGGAACACACACTTACTCGTCCTAAAGACTAATTCCCATGAGTCTGGTATAACCTTCAAGCGCTTTGAAAGAATGCTTTTGCCCAAGGTGAGATTCTACATTGCTCCTGGAGAAAACTTGAGGAAATATTTTTTTCTGGCTGAAGTCCATATTTGAACTCTTCTCTTAGAGCATCTTCTGTGGACTCCTTGCATTTAATATAGTCCCTTTTCATGTCTTTGAGAATAATAATAATAATAATAATCCTTGTATTTGATATAGCGCTTTTCACGTCGGGAGGACGTCCCAAAGCGCTTCACAGAACACACTGTAAAGTGAATTGACTGTATAGTTGTGGGCAAACGCGGCAGCCAATTGCGCACAGCAATGTCCCACAAACAGTCGTAGATTGAAAATGACCAATTTATTATTGTTTTGTTTTGGAGGGATTATTATTAGGCTCTGTGTGGAGTAAGGAAACTTGCCCAAGGTTTCGCCCTCTGCCTGGAATTGAACTCAGGTCTCTCGCTTGCAAGGCGAGTGCTCTAACCACTGAGCTACAGGACTCCTATAAATACACTGTTTATATTTATATATACTATTTATATATTTATATTTATTTATTTATTTATATTTTTATTTTTATATTTATTTATTTATATATTTATATATACTATTTATATATACACTATAAAGTGAATTGACTGTATATTTTATACATGGCACAACTGAACCAAGAAGAACATTAGAAAACATATCCTTAATACACTGCAGCATAGGAAGAGTTTTGGGAGGAGAGGAAAGCTTACCCGATATTGAGCCACTTGTTCTCGGTCCAATGGTTGATGAGCAGACAGCCAGCCAGTGAACTTGTCAATACTAAACACTCCAATAGGTGGTTGATCAGCTCCTTGCCCAGTGAGTTTGTAGATTATAGTGGTCTCCTTATCTCTATTGGACTTAATCTGTTTAACAGAAGGGAAAAAACATTTTAAGTGATGATTTTCCAAAGAAAAATTCCTCGAACAGTTCAGAATGACCAACGGTTGGCACGCTATGTCAATTGTTTTATTTTTTTTAAAATCTCAGAATTCCTACATAAACATTGTGTTGAAAGGCTTAAAACCCTATTGACTTGAAAGTTGCCCTTGCATCAAAAACAAGGCCAGAAATGGCAGAGTCTCAAAGCACTTTTGGCACTCACACAATGAATGCAAGGTTGGCCTAGAATCTTACAAGGAGGCCATTCGGCCAATCATGCCTGCTCTTTGAAAGAGCTATCCAATTAATCCCATTCCTCACCGATAGCCCTGCAAATTTTTCCTTTTCAAGTACCTATCCAATTCACTTTTCAAAACTACTACCATTGAATCTGCTTCCACCACACTTTCAGGCAGTGCATTCCAGATCGTAACCACTCTCATTATTATTATTAGGCATCTACATAGTGATCGTAAAGATACCTGGGGGAAGATTGAGAAATGGAAAGTTATATTGCTGCTTTAAGCAGATTCCAAATCAGGTTAAGTTTAAGTACAGCGAGATACAAGGAGCTCCATTCTGCACCTTGAAGAGCGTGATGCAGAAATATTCTACTTTCCAGGGAGCCTCATGGGGTTAACCATGGGAGCCAAATTATTAGATTTAATCCAGAATAGCATTCATTGCAGTTTGGTCCTCAGGCCTCATGTGTAAGTGAATCAGATGAAGATCGGTATCAATGATGGTACAGTTGAAGAAAGCTCTTCAGCCCATTACAGCTGTGAATTACCCTCTAAGTAAAGCACTTCCAAAGGTTCCCCTCAACAAACCCTGGGCCCTGCGTAGATGACAAACCTGTACGAGTTTCTGGGGGAAGGGACCCCGTTCGTTTTCTGAGTGCTTGATGGGAGGAATGACCCACTCTCTCTTCTGCCGTCTCAGTAAGCTGTTGGGCCGATGGGGTGCCCATAAAATCAGTTTATCCAATTCATCAGTGGGTTCTTTTTTCTAAATAAAAAAAAAGACACAACCCAGAGTGAAACACAAGAGCATTAATGTTCTTCTTTAACAATAATTCCCGCATCTCATGTCAAAAAAAACTTCCCTCTTAAAAGCTCCTTGTTGCGTACAATGAATAATGGATAGAACTATTTGCTGGCAGATACATCAGCCAATTTTACAATGTCCCATAATGACCACTAGATGGGAGCAGGGCCACCAAAACTGGATTCTCCTGCCAATTTATGGTCTAAAATCAGCCACCATTTTGAGTGTTTTTTTTAAAAAAATCTGGCAAAAATGGTGAATTCCACATTCTCTGGCCCGCAATGTTTTTTATTTTTTTTAAAAAAAAACAGATCTAGTGGCCTACACCTTGGGGGTCAATTGCCAGCTTGTTTTTTTTAAAAAAAGTGGTTCAATAATTGCATAACAGGATTTTTAAATAAAGAATGCAACATTTTCCAAATCAGATCAAGAAGAACCCCATTCAAACACAAAACAAAAAAATTGGAATTATGTACCCAATTATGGTACTACTATGTAATTAGCATTTTATAATGCCATTTCAAGCACTGGATAGAAGTCACAACTACGCTGTATGCACAATTTGATGCCCCCTAATACAAAACAAAATTACCTTTTGCGTTTTGTGGAATAGCACCTTAACAGTAGCATTCCATTCTTTTCCAACGCCATCACGTGCAGTAATGATAAATTTTTTGTGGCTATGGAGTTTTAACAGATTTTTAACATAAACTCTTCCATCAAATCGTAGTTGGAAATGGGAATCATCCGCATGGAACACGAGCTCCCTCTCATTGCAGTCAACAAAGTGAACTGTAAAATAAAGAGAAAAAAAAATCAATGAACAACTTTACCCAAACCTGTACCAGTTACCAACTCAATGGTAAACCTACATAGTATGAAAGGTAAATCTCGAAAGTAACATACACAGTTAGCTTGAAACTATCCAGTTAAATCCCTTCATAGCTAGAAACTATATTTGCACAATTTTCTTTAACTGCAATAAGAAGATCGGATTCTATGCAATTAATACATTTCATACAATAATTATCCTTACATTGGATCTGCTACCTATAACAACAAAATGCTTTACGTGGAATTGCTGACAAGTGTGGTGACTGTTATTGTAGTATCTGTGGCAAAAGATCCTACAGATTAAATGAATAATGGAATTACTATAACTCCAGGGTCAGTTTTGTATAATTTGTGATAATTTTTCATATATTAAGCGATCCTTCATTTAGGATTCAGGTACATTCAATAATGCATTTTTGCATCTCCTGCATTTTTATAGCACCTCACCATATTTAAATCTTAAAGTCCTTCACAGTAATTACTGTCAAATGTAGGCTATTTTTGTAGTTATTTGTACAAGGAAGGATTCACAAACAGAAATGATCAATTTAATTGATCAAATATTATTGGGTGGGGGACTAAACTCTTCCTTTAATACGGCAGGATCGATGACAGAGGTACTGTTACACAGCAACTATATGAATTTGAAGAATTTAGGAAGAAGTGGAAAATTGTATTGCCTTCTTCATGCTTATTTGTACCTCCATGTTAATGTTTACAACAGCATTTAGTCAACTGCTTAAAATGCATTAAAATTATTCAACTGGATCAACTGAAGGCCAACAACTATAATAATCCTTGCATACAATATAGCTCTTTAATCACGTCATTGAGACGTCCCAAAGCACTTCACAGGATATACTGTAAAGTAGATTAACTATCTATTTTGTGGGTGAAACATGGCAAAGAGTGGAGTGAGTGACAGATTTTATATGGGGGAGCTGTTGGCTCCTCACAACTCGTAGACGAAGAAAATAGATAGTGGCAGAACTCTGCATAGATAAACCAACCCTTAAGCTGTCTTTTCCAGGAAGAGACATATCTCTGCACAGACAGACAGTTTTCCATAATCCATACTGTAAGTTTTTATTGGTTAATGGATTCCTGCTCGGAAGGTGCATCCCAGAATATCTATCCACTGTGTCCAGATTCAGAAGCAGGTCATTGAGCAGAACACTTTTTAAAAAATCCAACTCTCCTGAATAGTGACAGTTGGACAAAAAAAAACTTTGCTTCCTCTATGTTTTAACAATTTCATTCTTTACTAGGTTAGGAGCCAGATCAAGATTGGGCTATGGACACAGTTTCAAGCACAAACTTATTCTCAATGAATAAATAATACCTCCCTTTGTATAAGGGTAATAAAAAGCTCCAGAGCATGCTACTGACAAAGTGCTTTGACCAGCAATGCCTCGAGCAACATTTCAGAAGTCAAGATTACGTCAACCCACTGAAACCCAGAATTCAATTTTCAATATGGACTAGAACAAAAAGGGCAAAACCACCCTTTGAACATTCGATCAAAAACAGCCCTGAGACATTAAATAATTTCTGCAGAAAAACAATCTCTTCTATACATCGAAAATAGGCAGAATTAGAGTATATTTCAGAACTCAAACAGCTCCCACCCAGTAAAGGTTACTCACTTGTATTTTGAAATCTACTACTGTACTGTAGCTTGAATCAACTCAAGTCTTCAGTTTTGTTAAAAAATAGTCCTAGCTGGTTGTGCTAATACATTGAAATAAGTGTTATTAACCTTTGACAGTTTACAGGGTGCTGTGCTCTCAATGCCCTGCTTTTATCCACGCAATATTTCCTATAGTCCTTCAGCAACGCACATGAACCAGGGAATTTTAAAGTGTATTCCATAAAGTAGTCACGTGGAAAGATGCATCAGTTATGCAACAGGAAACAATCACAAAAAGTACTTATGTGTAAGTAACACTAGGTTTATTCTATCTATCTATCTATCTATCTATCTATCTATCTATCTATATATACACACATATATATACACACACACACACATATATATACACACACACACATATATACACACACACACATATACACACACACACATATACACACACACACATATATACACACACACATATATACACACACACACACATATATATATATACACACACACTTAAAAAAGATTTCTCCCGACAAGTGTGGTTTGCTGAGCATTGTAGATGCTGAATATATACAGTATAACCACAGTAGCATTAGAATTAGACTCAGAAGGGATCATTTGAATGCACTGGCATGAAGTTACACGCTTGAGATACCTACTGGAAGAGAATATGAATCAAGTATCCTCAAGCAGATTTGGCTATTTATATTAAAACAGGCTTGTTTGTTTAATGATCCTACTTGCAGTTGATATAGCTCTTTTCACATCAGGAGGATATCTCCTGTGGAGTCCTGTAGCTCAGTGGTTAGAGCACTCGCTTTGCAAGTGAGAGACCTGAGTTCAATTCCAGGCAGAGGGCGAAACCTTGGGCAAGTTTCCTTACTCCACACAGAGCCTAATAATAATCCCTCCAAAAAACCAAAAACAATAATTAAATTGGTCATTTTCAATCTACGACTGTTTGTGGGACATTGCTGTGCGCAATTGGCTGCCGCGTTCGCCCACAAATATACAGTCAATTCACTTTACAGTGTGTTCTGTGAAGCGCTTTGGGACGTCCTCCCGACGTGAAAAGCGCTATATCAAATGCAAGGATTATTATTATCTCAAAGCCAACAGCAATGTCCCACAAACAGACGTAGATTAATATTTTTAGATAATTGCTGAAAATGGTTTGAATTCAGGTGAAGGAAAGAGGCGAGATTTTTTGGGGAGTTTCTTATGAACAACTTAGTCCCCAGATTGTAGCACCAATTTTGTAACTTGCTGCCAGGTCACCTTTCAACATTGAAAGGCAAACTCTTGAGGTATGTGGAAAATGGGAGATGCCAGATTGAAACTAGCTTGGATTTCCGACCAAAGAGATTATATTTCAGCTATAAAAACAGAGGAAGCAAACATTGCTCAACAGTGTGGAGGACCCTAACCCCAGCACCATTAAAATTAACAAGTTAAGTAACTTCACAGATCTTGGTACGGTCTCAGTTACAATGCTGCGTGGAGCGGAAACAATTATGAAATTAAACAAGAGTTAAATGTTAAAAAGGATGCAAACACGGATCAATAACTATTTCTCAGTACAGTAATACAGCTACTATCTGCACATAATTAAGTTTAAACATCAAAGAAATGTGTGATTCATGAACTGGAGTTCACAATTTCTAAAACAATTGATTTTCTAATTTTATTATTTAATTCAAACAAAATTATTTTTTCATATCAAGGGAAACAGATCGCTACAAGTTTTTTTTCATTTGGGACATGATTTAACCTAGAGTCCGAGCACAAAGAGCAGTGACTGCAGGAGTGCAAGGTGACACCCAATCCAGGTCAGAATACAAACAAGCCATGTTGTGAAAACATTAAACCGTGGATAGGCCCACACCTGGAAAGTCTTTAAACCCTTGATGGGGAGAAGTTACTCCAGTATTAACTCAATTAAACTCAAATAATCCCTGCATTTGATATAGTGCATTATTCCATCAAAATGTCTGAGCTTCAGGAGAATTTGCTATTAAGTGTAATGACCATTTGTAGGCAAATGTGACAGCCAACTGCATGTAGCAATGCACCAAAACAACCAGCCAGTATCTGGGGATTGCTGGCCAGGATTCCAGGTGAAATGGTCCTTTTTTAAAAAAAAATAAGAATCCCTTGTGATCATTAGCTTCCACCTGAATGAGATGAACCTCAATTTAACGTCACACCTGAAGAATTGCAGCTCTGAATTAACGAAATTGGAAAATCAGCCGAGACTGTGGTCAGCAATCTTGATGTACCACAAGGTCAACCAATAGCAATGTCTTCTCTACCACCCTATTGTAGGGATAGGAGAAGACCAGCGAGATAGGGAGGCAGTCGGGTTTGAAGGGATTTATAGGCAATACTTTGCAATAGTAACTCTCTTTGAGTGAAAGTACAGGGCAAGTAGCTACAGTACATTTCTTTCTAGGGAACACCTGTTTATCTGGAATATGACCTTAGGGGAAAAAAATTAAAAATGCCCAAACCACAGTAAGAACAGATAGATTGGAGGAACTGTTTTGTGGGCAAGTGCACACAGCCAACTTGCCCACAGCAATATGTCCTCATGAAGAAAAAGTCAGTGGTAAGTAGCCTGAAAATCAGGAGACTTCATCCAGTCTTATTCCCTGTCATTTTAGAATTATGTGGATGACAGAGGTCACAAAAATGAAATCTAATAGTTTTTCTTTGAGCAAGTGTTTCTGGTGGAATCTGTACTCTTTACTTGGTGTCTCTCTCACACACAATGTCACTGGATATCTCTGTTACTCTGGCCTTTTTTAATTAGTCAAATCTAAGCGGAGGCAACGGTGGATCAGATTTCCAACAAGGTCCTGCTAAATTCAATCACCTTTCTTCCTGAGTTGCCTGCTGGAAGACTTCAAACAGCAAAACAGAAGCCCACAGCAATAATTTCCAAGTGCTCAGTTGGTGCTAACAGCTTGATAGTTTCAGATACCCTGGTTTCAGAGAATTTTTTTTGCATAGAGAAGCTCAATTGTCATGAGTACAGCACTTGTTTAAAATAGTCTTGGAAAGAAGTCGAAAAGAGGGAAGTTACCCAAATCAGGGAGCATGAGTTTGGTCGCTTAAGACAGAAGTGCCTATATCACAGCTTGTGTTTACTCAAACAGGAAAATAAGTTTGTACTGAACTTCTGTTTCTGAAGCACTCTCTTTTTTTTAAATCAAGAATCCAAAAAAAATGCACACATTTACAAGAATGTCAAACCTCTGCCTGTTGTGGGGGGCAAGCGGGGAGCAAGTTATGCGGTTTTAGTTGGATAAAC